CCACCACACCGACACCCACACCCACACCCCACACACCCACACCCACACCAGGACCCACACCCTCACCCATGCCCACACCGACACCCACATCCAGGATGGTCTGGAGCGTGTTGAACACAACAAGGAGAAGAGTCACACCCACCACTATAATAAATGAATAGCCTTTCGCAAGGCTTATGCTACGTTAGTTCGAAATCTAACTTTTCTACCTTCTACAGACTTTCGAAACCTAGCGAAATCAGTTCTTCGACTGGTAACAGACAACAAAAATCTGCCATTATTGTTCCTCAAACACACAGCGTAGAACGAACGTTTGGCACTGTTGAACGCTCAAGTCATGAGAGAAGACAAGTCACTACCATTGTTGATCGTTCAACAAATAGTACACAACGAGAACTTGCGACTATTGAATCATCGAGTCGCAATGAACAATGTGGATCCCGCAATCCTGGATCCTTGGCGTGCATTAACCGTGAAACAAATTCAAAGCTAAGCTCCATCAAGTGTGTGGAATGGATGTGGCAGTCAAATCCAAATGTATTTTCCAACTCTGAACCGGCGGAGTGGAATCATTATTCGGATGTCGAAAACTTAATTATTGAAGGAGCATATTCTAATGGAGAGTCCAAGGCAGTCTTGGATGAGTATTATATTGATTTTAAAGCAAATTTGCAAATATCAAATACAGATGAATATAAACAAAGACCTGTTAAAAGATTAGTACGTAAAAGAGAAGACAAACATTTACGCGAACAGCGTTTTGTAGATCTCCCTGTCAGTACAGGTAGATCATTTAGTGATGCATATGGTTGGGTACCACCATTTGTTATTGAAGCTAGAAAATATTTAAAACTTGAAGTAAAAGATTTACCATCGAGAAATCCTAAAGTAATTCCAATGTTGATTGACAAAGCTGCTGACGGTATTATACAGGAAAGCAAACACATTGGAAAAGATAACGAAGGTAAAGAATTAGCCAATATGCTTAAAGAACAGAAAAATCAAGGAATTCAAGAAGTATGGAAATGTTGTGCTTTTATTTATTCATTGGAAAGTTTTCTTTATAAAACACTAAATGCAGCAATGCGACTAGTTGGGGACGAATATCACGATTATGTATGGAGAAGTAAAGTTCACACATTAGGACCATTCTGCTTATTTCTGTGGGATGATCCATATAATTCAAAATTAACAACGAACAAGACACTTTATCGAGGAGCAAATTTAAACGATGAACAAATCGCTCGATACGAAGAGATGTCTCGAGATCGAAGCATTCTTGGCTCATTTCAAGCATTCACATCGTCCAGTCGAAACCGCACGAAAGCGGAAGAATTCGGGAATACACTATTCATTATGGAAATCCTTATTGCCTTTACTGCCGATCTTAGTAATATCACTGAATATCCGAATGAAGAAGAAGAACTTATTACGCCAGGTGTTTGCTTCCAGGTTACAAAAGTGCAATTTGATCGAAAGATGAAAAAATCTTTAATTTATTTGAAATTAAGACAACGATTCTCGAGTAAGCAGAACATTCATCTCTATTTTTGGGAATCACTTTCATAAGGCAGAAGAGAAGTCTTTTTACATCCATTTCGTATGGCTTCATAAGGATTGAGTTTCTTTAAATTTTTTTAACGCACTTGCATTATTCCTTGCATGAATGCATATTTTCCTTCAATCTTTAATAAACAAGTAGTTTATTGCTTGATTACCTGTTGACGAAAAGAGAAAATTACCAAGCAGAAACGTCATTGACATATATTAATGGGATTATATCTATTGGCTGAATAGAAAATTGCACAAGTCTGACTTACAAAAAAACATTCCCAGGTGCGCATTCGCTTTTGAGTCGAGACTTAGTGCATCCTATAGGCATTAGTGAACTGTAAATACCCTAAAAAGAGTTCGTGCCCATAGCTTGTTTCTATTGAGATATCGAGGTTTCAGTAAATTTTCCCTATAGGCCCCTACATTTGCAGAAAGGCCATATTTTTGAATTTTGATCTAAAACTTTGTTCACATAAATATCTCAGCTAGATTAGTTTGTAACAAAATTTTCAGAACTTTTGGACAAAGTCTCTCCGAGACACAAAGTTTCCAATGTAGAGGCCGTTTTCCATAGATAGTGTACTAGGTTGGTAAAGATGCTTTCCCAGTGGGGTAACACTATTATTTCAAATAGCATACATACATATTTTTACACTTAATTAAAGCCCGTTGAAAATAGATTGTTTTGATACTACATTGTAAGTTTTATCCAACCTTTTTGATATCAAACTTGAAAAATGTTGTGCTTTTGTAGGATAGAAAACAAAGGTGTCTGCAATTCAAAAATGAAGTTTAGTGTTTTCTTTTAATATATTTACATGATTCCATAGAGTTCATTGAGCTCTGCAAAACTATATATATATATAAATTTTTTAAGCTCGTTATCTAATTTAAAAACCTATTTCGAAAATACTAAAAATTGTTAAAAAAAAACACATTTGTTTTAGGGATGCAACGGTGACGATTAGTCACCGCTTGATCGTAGCAATCGGTAACCGCTTCAGCGGAAACCGCTCCACCGGTAACCGGTGTGAACCGGTAACCGTTTCACCGGTAACCGGTGT